CCAGTGTGAAAAAAAAAAAAAAAAAAAAAATTTAGATTTAGAAAGGACATAGGTAAGTACTGGTTTTCTAACAGAGTTGTAGATGCGTGGAACAGTCTTCCCAGTGGGTGATAGAGGCTAGGACCTTGGGTAGCTTTAAGAAGAGACTGGACAAATATATGAGTGGGAGGGGCTGGGTTTGATTGGTGTCAAGGGGTACGGGAGTTATTTCTTGAGTAGCTTTAGGTAGATGTCGTTTTGATAAGGACCTGCCTCGTATGGGCCAGTAGGCCTTCTGCAGTGTTCCTACATTCTTATGTTCTTATGTATATGTGTATATAAAATATAGAAAAGTAGCAATAAACAACATTTTATTTCATTTGTGTGTGTAAACAATAATAAACAATATAAAGACAACAGAGTTTGTGCAGTAAATAAAGAGAAAAAACTTATAAAATAGTACTCATATTGGTATCACAGGCCATAAAAGTTGCTTGGAAAAAAAAGTTAGAAAATAATAGAAAATAGTACCTAAAAAAGAAAATAAAGTAATACCGGGTGATGGCAGTCGGCGATGTTACCATATAGGGGACATTTTCTGTCAACTTCACGCCTCCATATCTCGGTAAGTATTGAGGGTAAAAATTTTTTGTTTAGCCTATAATGTTTAGAAAAAAAAAATATCTTTTCATTAGATTTTTTTTTTTTTTTTTTTTTTTTTTGAAATTTTGGCGACCCTGAGAACAAGTCTCTGAGAGGGCCTGGCGACCCTGAAAGGGTTAAAATCACTAAATTAATTTAAAGTATCAATACACTTGAAATTGTCAATTCTACTAATTGTAATACTTGTTAATTATAATTTTTTTCTAATAATACATAATACCCACAAATCTACCTCCTGCCAATATTTTTACCTCAGGATAACTCAGTTTTTTTCATCTATTCATATTGTATTTGAAAAATCTAACACCCCATAAAATTCTAAATTTTTATCAGATTCCGCTCATTTTAGTCTTATTTGATTCAGAAAAAATGAACTCTATTGAACTGTAAGAAATATATTTTTTTTTCTTCAAAATCTTGACATGCCCACAGGGCTTTTGTTTTGCCCACTTGCCACAGTTAAGTGGTTAAACACTTATTCACTGTTTATTATTTTTCACTTAGACAGTGGACCCCCACATAACGATCACCTCCCAATGCGACCAATTATGTAAGTGTATTTATGTAAGTGCGTTTGTACGTGTATGTTTGGGGGTCTGAAATGGACTAATCTACTTCACAATATTCCTTATGGGAACAAATTCGGTCAGTACTGGCACCTGAACATACTTCTGGAATGAAAAAATATCGTTAACCGGAGGTCCACTGTATGTTCAACAATTGTGGAAGTACAGCTGTAGAAGACATTACTACTAACAAACCACAGAACAGGCGGGATTTTAACCAATAGAGAGTGAGATCTAAAACTCCAGACCATTGGTTCCAGTCCCACCTGTTCCCTGGTTTGTATTCACAATCATGTTACTACAATTTCGTTAGTTATGTTCTTTGTTTATTTTTGTTATGGTATATTCTTGTTTTCCATTACTATGTGCTCTTATAAAATGCATAGGTAGAAAAATCTTTTATGATTAAATAAAAAAAAATTTTGAGGGGGGAACCTTGATGTTGGTAAGGAGCTCTTGATACAAGGAACTAGAGCTACCCTTCCCATCCCTCAAACCTCATTACCCGTAAGGTGCTGTATGACCCTACAGGTCAGTAGGTCTTTCCCCATATAAATGTACAGATGCTCCTAGCTTTACGATAGTTCGAATTAAGATATTTTGACTTTACGATGATGCAATAAAACTGTAAAACTTTTTTTTTGTAATGTACATTTATTGATAGGATAAATTTGTATCCATTTATTTACTTTTCAGTATTGACAGTAGTTATTTATTTACTTATTTATCATAGCACATTCATATTCGACTTAGGATATTTTTTACAATGGGTTCATTGGAACACAACTCCATCGTTAGTCGAGGATCACCTGTAATAATAATGTAATTGAATAATGGAGGAAAAGTGTATTATTAGTTTTCAAATTTTACTGATGTGAATAATGAAATGTTCTCCCATAGCTTTGTCAAATATAATTATAGATGATGTCACTTCGGCCCATTAACCCTTTAGCGTTCAAAGGGCCCATACAGGGCCCACATCTAGCATGACTTTACAAGGTTCTAGAATCGAGTTAGGGCACAAGAAATCAGGGACATTGCCTCTAGCCAATAGGGGAAACAATGCATCGTCCTCAACCAAGCACAGAGCCCTATCTCCTTCCCAAGGGGAGTGAGAAGTTGACCTGGGAAACTGTGTAGTTCAAGACTTGGGAAAAGGGTATGTATTTCCCAGTTTTGCCAATCACTTGTAAGTAGGAATACTGGCTGTTTAGACTCGTTTTGATAAATTCCTAAAAACTATGAAAGTTAAGGCAGAAAGTCATTGTGAAAAGGCCTTGCAAAATCTTAGAAAAGACCAGTCTACAGCATCCTAGAAACACGTCCAAATTCTTCATATAATTTCAATGACAGAACGCTCTAGGGGTTAAGGGACTCTTGAGGGTTTAGCACTTAGTTCCAATTGTAATAATAATAATGTAAAATTGACTGTTTTGCAAACATAATGGGGCCAATTTCCACAGACACTAGGCTGAAGTAGATTGCAAAACATGGTTATCTCTGTGTATGTATATATACGTATTCTTATTTTGAATAATAATTCTAGACTATATAGTACAAATGTTAGTTTATTTTGTTAACCATTTTTCACTGAGGGCAAGATTTTGTAAATGTACCACAGTACTGTAATATATAATAGTACATTGATTGCTGTTGTATTATATGCAACTTTAGTGTGTTAAACATTACAGAAAATAAGAAGAAGCTTTTTATCAATATATTCCTTGAACACTAAGAATGTGAAGCAGTAAATTCTACTTGGATGGGAAATAAATTTATTATAGAGCGGAGAAAGACATGAATATGCACAACAAACATTAATAATAATAATAATAATAATCTTGAGTCCTGGAGATGGGAAGTACAGTACCTGCACTCTGAAGGATGGGTGAGGATGTTACAGTGCTGGACATGGGAAGTACAGTACCTGCACTCTGAAGGATGAGTGAGGATGTTACAGTGCTGGAGATGGGAAGTACAGTACCTGCACTCTGAAGGATGAGTGAGGATGTTACAGTGCTGTAGGTGGGAAATACAGTGCCTGCACTCTGAAGGATGGGTGAGGACATTACAGTACTGGAGGTGGGAAGTACAGTACCTGCACTCTGAAGGATGAGTGAGGATGTTACAGTGCTGGAGGTGGGAAATACAGTGCCTGCACTCTGAAGGATGGGTGAGGACATTACAGTACTGGAGGTGGGAAGTACAGTACCTGCACTCTGAAGGATGAGTGAGGATGTTACAGTGCTGGAGATGGGAAGTACAGTACCTGCACTCTGAAGGATGGGTGAGGATGTTACAGTGCTGGAGGTGGGAAGTACAGTGCCTGCCCTCTGAAGGATGCGTGAGGACATTACAGTTCTGGAGGTGGGAAGTACAGTGCCTGCACTCTGAAGGATGAGTGAGGACATTACAGTGCTGTAGGTGGGAAGTAGAGTACACAAATAACCCGCACATAAAAGAGAGAAGCTTACGACGATGTTTCGGTACCTGCAGTACCTGCACTCTGAAGGATGGGTGAGGACGTTACAGTGCTCTAGGTGGGAAGTACAGTACCTGCACTCTGAAGGATGGGTGAGGATGTTACAGTGCTGGAGATGGGAAGTACAGTGCCTGCACTCTGAAGGATGGGTGAGGACATTACAGTTCTGGAGGTGGGAAGTACAGTGCCTGCACTCTGAAGGATGGGTGAGGATGTTACAGTGCTGGAGGTGGGAAGTACAGTGCTTGCACTCTGAAGGATGGGTGAGGATGTTACAGTGCTGGAGGTGGGAAATACAGTGCCTGCACTCTGAAGGATGAGTGAGGATGTTACAGTTCTGGAGGTGGGAAGTACAGTACCTGCACTCTGAAGAATGGGCGAGGACATTGTAGCTCTGATGACCATTTGAAATATGTCAGCATTCTCCTGGGAAGACAGTGATTTAGTGAATGACGATGAATGCATTTCATTTTCATGGGCTCACCCTAACTTGGTGGGAAGTGTAATAACTAATAATAATAATAATTCAAAATTGGGAAGTGCAGACGAAGTCTTCCTCCTCAAGCCAAGTGTGTCGTAAGAGGTGACTAAAATGCGGGAACAAGGGGCTAGTAACCCCTTCTCCTGTATATATTACTCAACATAAAACAAAAATGTTTCTTCTTTTTCGGCTCACCCTGGCTTGGTGGGAGATAGCCATTGTGTTAAAAAAATTATATTCAAAAAAGCATACAATAGTGTCAAAATTGTTTTTGTCCAAAAACACTCAGAGTAAACCACAATTTAATGGCTCTCAATTTAACAGACTTCACAAACCTGGGACAAAATCTGCCGAACCAATTGACTCAGAGGTAAGGGACAAAGTCCATTGTTACAGAATTGTTGTGGTCACAGCAAAACAACCTCATCTCTATCCTCCCCAATTACCATACTCCTACTCCCCTTACCCCCTTAGTCTGGTAAATTAAGGGTTTACTCTATTACAGATTCAGAAAAATTCTTCAGCACTCCCATGTAAATAGAAGTTTCCTTACAGGTGTTTGAGTTTCCCTCCATGTAGGATTTACATCCATTTTTCACATTACATTAATGGCAGTTTTTACCATCTGCCCGATTATACTGCAAATTTTGATGTCTGCATATTCTGGACTTTGAATGGCTTATGGAAATTGTAATGACGTGACTGTAAACAAATCACCAGACAATTCGTTCCTACCAATGGCAAGCCAGTGGTAAAACTATGAGGCCAGTGCGTTATCCACCACGCCATGCTGGCTTAAAAATATTCACCCAACTGGGAATGACTTACCATGGGCTCGACTCGTTTGGTGAGTCGTTTCTGTATAGACGGTTTGGGCAGTCGACACTTGTTCAAGACTTGGCTATCTTTATTGTGAAAAAATATCCACAATATGGATACCCAGGTGTTGTACAAGTATTTAATTCATCAGTTTGTTTCTGTATTCACTGAGACTTCTGAAATTGTACTATACCTCTTTCCATTGTTGAAGTTTGTATATTGTGTTGGGATAGCAGAGAGGATCATTGCAGTGTTAAAGGACTGATATCAGTGCTGTATGACCCTTGTGGTTTTTAGCACTTAATTATGATTATAATAATTAAGGATTGATATATGTATATTCTGTACACTCTATTATACTTGGTATATGGTGATATATCCTGGGTATAAGGATACATCTTGTTGATACTGTAATTTGCATCATTAAAACACACTCACTTATTATTCTCTGTTTGTCATCCTTTTGAGGTGGATGCGCTGGTGCTGGTGAAGAGCTCTTCATCCGGGTAATTGGAGCTACTCGGTCCTTGGATCAAACCTCATTACCTCCCATTCCCCAGGCACTATGACCCCTACAAGTTTAGCGCTTCCTCATGGATATGATAATGATAAAATTCTTTTCACTATCAACCACAACTGTAAACAAAATTCTTGGTTTGAATTTTGTAACCCAAAAAAATACAAATTATGTAAAGTGAATGCAATAATTATTGTATTTGTGCAAGGGTGTACAGTAATAACTTGTACTAGTTTGTACACTCAGTAACATGTACTAGTGTGTATGCTCAGTAATATGTACTAGTGTGTACACTCAGTAACATGTACTAGTGTGTACACTCATTAACATTTACTAGTGTGTATGCTCAGTAACATGTACCAGTGTGTACATCAATAAACTTGAATGGTAGTACAGTGTGCTGATCGCAATTCATTCACCTGATAAAGCAGTCTGGTTATTCCAAGATTGACTATGTATTCCAAGACTAGGTATGTCTATGCATTCCAAGACTAGGTATGACTATGTATTCCAAGACTAGGTATGTCTATGCATTCCAAGACTAGGTATGACTATGTATTCCAAGACTAGGTATGACTATGTATTCCAAAACTACATACAACTCATGCCACTTATTATATTCCCAAGAATATAATGAGAATAAGGAGGATTCATATTGGAATTATTTTGTGTGTAGAGTAGTTTTACAGCTCTGCCATATAAGGTGGTCCCCATAATAATAATAATAATCTTTATTTACCAGAAGTACATGTACATGGTATACAGTCCTAGCTGAGAACAATGACATACTACTATATAGAAAGCCACTTGTTATGCTGAGCATCTCGGGCAAATTAGGTCAGTGTCCCAGGATGCAACCCACACCAGTCCACTAACATCCAGGCACCCATTTTACTGATGGGGAACATAGACAACAGGTGGAAAGAAACACGCCCAATGTTTCTACTCTGGCTGGGAATCGAACCCAGGCCCTCGCCGTGTGAAGCGAGAGCGTTAACCACCAGGCCACCAGAGCCCCCATGCTGTTGGAGGTCTCTTGAATCAAGCAATGACCTCTATATAACAGACTTAATATGTAACGTACTTCTATGTAATTTACCTCATGTAGTGAACTGATATACAAGGGACATCTGTGTAACAGACTACTATGTAATGGACCCCTATATAACAACTTACATAACAGACCTCTATATAATGGACATCTACATTATAGACCTCTGTATAATAGACTTACATATAACAGACCCATGTATAACAAACCTTGAATCTCTTTATATCAGACATCTGTATAACAGACTTCTATGTATCGGACCTTTGTATAACATGCTTCTATATAGCAGACATATTTGTAACCTCTATATAATAAGATAAGACATTGGATTTTTAACCCCAGAGTGTTAGCTACCCAGGACTGTCATTTTTCCATTGTGGTCCTTCAATCTTGTACCCCAGGATGCCACCCACACCAGTCCACTAACACCCAGGATAAGATAAGATTTCGTTCAGATTTTTAACCCCGGAGGGTTAGCCACCCAGGATAACCCAAGAAAGTCAGTGTGTCATCAAGGACTGTCTAACTTATTTCCATTGGGGTCCTCAATTTGTCCCCCAGGATGCGACCACACCAGTCAACTAACACCCAGGTACCTATTTGCTGCTAGGTGAGCAGGACAACAGGTGTAAGGAAACGTGTCGAAATGTTTCCACCTGCCGGGAATCGAACCCGGTCCCTCCGTGTGTGAAGTGAGAGCTTTAGCCAACAGGCCACCGGGCCACCCACACCAGTCCACTAACACCCAGGTACCTACTTGCTTGCTAGGTGAACAGGACAACAGGTGTAAGGAAACACACCCAATGTTTTCACCCTTGCCGGGGATCAAACCATAGACACTCAGTGTATGAAGCAAGAACATTGCCTACCAGGCCATGGACCACTTTCAGCACTGAATGACCCATGTGGGTTTAGCGCTTAGTTTTAATCGTAATGTTAAACTTGTTTTGCTAGTCCTTTTCCAGGGTTGAGAACTTTGTTATGATTAAAATAATAGTTCTTTTCCAACAATACCCTCACAAATTACTTCCAATTTGGACAAGTTTTGTTCCCTGGACGGTGCTTTATGACCCTTGTGGGGTTAGTGACTAGTTTTATCGTAATTTGTTTCTTCGGACACCAGAAGGCAAAGGATAATACAACCCTATATGACGCTGTACAAACTCTGACGATGATGACTCGAGGACTCTTCACAGCCCTTTCTACCTCAATATCTTGCTACTCTCTACCCCTGCACTATCCACTGCCCTGCTGCACTCCATGACCTAATAATTATCCCTCTCTTGCTACCCAATATCCCTGCATCCTTCCCTGCCCTGCTGTGCTGTATGACACTTGTAGGTTTAGTGCTTCTTTTTCATTATAATGCAACTCTATAAGCCCTAAACCCCTCAAGGAAGGTTCCTTGATGTTGGTGAGGGGCTCTTGATTTAGAGAATTGGATCTGTGCTCCAGTTCCCCGAATTAAGCCTGAATGCCTTCCACAACCCCCCCCAGGCGCTGTATAATCCTCCGGGTTTAGCGCATCCCCCTTGATTATAATAATAATAATATAAGCCCTAAAATGAATACAGCATGAGCTGCCATTAGCTCTCTGCATGGCCCATGTTGGTTTAGAGCTTTATTTTATTACAGTAATGTCAGTAACCCTATAATAAATATTTTGACATATGTCTCATGAAATCGTAATGACATGATTGCAAACAAACCATACCACGGGTGGGGATAGAACCCGCGATCAGAGTGTCTCGAAACACCAGACCGTCACGTTAGCCACTGGACCAGCTAGCCACAATAAGATTCGCCCAACTATGGTGTAGAAATATGCCTAGTTGGATGAATCTTATTGTGGCTAGCTGGTTCAGTGGCTAACACGACGGTCTGGAGTTTCAAGATTGCGGGTTCTATTCCCGCCCATGGTATGGTTTTTTTTTTTTTGACATGTTTGTACAAAAGAATATAATAGCTGGGTGTACATGCCAAAAGCCCCTTTATATGCAGAGCAATTCGGGCAAATTTAAAAGTAACTCAAGATTAAAAAGGTAATAACAGTACATAGGGTCTTTAGATGAGTTACCTTGTGGCTTAGCGCTTCTTTTTTATTATAATAATAATTTAGATGAGTTAAAATAAATACAAGAGAATTGGGTATTCTATTAGGTCATGCTATGTGGCTTTAATAAGTCTTGTTGAGAAGACGTAGAATTTTGATTAACCTTAGGTGGACACAATGGAGTGATTAATATTTGAGATGAATACAGATATTGAGAGGAAGTATACACTGATTTTAAAGTTTTACTTTTGGTCATGATATTAAGCAAATGCTTGAATAGATTTTGCATATGATGGGCTGGGATATTATTATTATTATTAAAATCAAAAAGAAGCGCTAAGCCACAAGGACTATACAGATGGGCTGGGAGAGGTTAAGGAGATAAAACTTTTTTTTTTAACTGTAGTTTTAAAAATGCTGAGCCAGTGGTAATGGATATTTCTGGCCGAGTTCCAGATTTTGGGCCCTTTTATGTATAAGCTGCTGTATAGCCCTTGTGGCTTAGCGCTTTTTTTTTTTTTTTTTTTTTTTTTTTTTTTTTTTTTTTTTTTTTTAATAATAATAATATGTATAAGCTGTCATAGCCTCATAAACCCTCAGATGATACAGTATAAGCACTCAGTAACCCCATAAACCCCGGTGGCCTGGTGGCTAAAGCTCCTGCTTCACACACGGAGGGCCCGGGTTCGGTTCCCGGCGGGTGGAAACATTTCGACACGTTTCCTTACACCTGTTGTCCTGTTCACCTAGCAGCAAATAGGTACCTGGGTGTTAGTCGACTGGTGTGGGTCGCATCCTGGGGGACAAGATTGAGGACCACAATGGAAATAAGTTACAGTCCTCGATGACGCACTGACTTTCTTGGGTTATGGGGCTCTGGTGGCCTGGTGGCTAACGCTCTGGCTTCACACGGTGAGGGCCTGGGTTCGATTCCCAGCCAGAGTAGAAACATTGGACGTGTTTCTTTCCACCTGTTGTCTATGTTCCCCATCAGTAAAATGGGTACCTGGGTGTTAGTGGACTGGTGTGGGTCGCATCCTGGGACAAAACTGACCTAATTTGCCCGAAATGCGGAGCATAACAAGGGACTTTCTATATAGTAGTATGTCATTGTTATCAGCTAGGACTGTATACCTTGTACATGTACGGGTAGTAAATAAGATATATAAAATATATAAAATATATGTTTTATATATATATATATTATATATATATATTTTATATATATTTTAATATATATATATATATATATAATATCTCCCCCGCTGTTTTCTGTAACCTGTGATCATCCCCCCTCCCTTCTGCCATCCAATTCCCTTGCTTCCTTCCCTACCCTGCAGCGCTGTATAGCCCTTGTGGCTTAGCGCTTCTTTTTGATTATAATAATAATATATATATATATATATT